CCGAACGGGTCCATAATTATATTTGGACCCAACGGTTCCATTTATTAAATACCCGAAAGTTTTGGGTCGGTTCGGGTCTCTTCAGAATCGAACCGAACCGACCCACGAACAGCCCCGCTCTAAATGATATAATAAATGAAATGTGAAATTAAATATTAAATGACTTATTCAATTTCACCAGCCACCTACATTGGGATTGTAATCCTAATGGGGCTACATACTTTAATGCTATGTAGCTCCACTGGTGTTAACCCAATCTAAATGACTCTAAATGATTGTCTAAATGAAATGTGAAATTAAATAACTTATTTAATTTCACCAGCCACTACCACCTAACACCACTGTAGCACCCACTGGTGTTAGGTGGCTGGTGAAATTAAATAAGTCATTTATGTAGCTCCCACTGGTGTTAGGTAGCCGGCTGGTGAAATTAAATAAGTCATTTAATGTAGTTCCACTGGTGTTACAACCTCAATTTAGATAACTCTAAATGATAGGTTAAATGAAATGTCACATATCATTTAACGCCACATTAACGCTACTTAAATTGAGTTGTAACCTCAATAGGACTAAATAAAATTACTCACGATGTAAACTGAAACATTATGTACACTAGAGTGTAAACTTGATACACATGTAGAATAATTCTTATCACAATCATACTGTAAAACTTGTATGAAATCTTGTCAAACAATTCCTAAATATTTTAATTTTTTCCCAAATATATTCAACCAACACATGCGTAAATTATTGTTAAGACAGATTCACAATGTGCACTTGGATAGTATGAAATCACTCTCTAGACTCAAAAAGCTTTCTCAAACTCTTACCACATATTCTCATATCCAACAATGCAAAGCTCACGCGGGTCAATTAACACCGCAACACCACCACCTTCTGCCGCCGCCTCCCTCCCACCCCACCGCAAAATGTTGCTGAATAAAGATAAAGAAGAATTCATTTTCCGGTCTAAACTTCCAGATATCTACATACCAAATCATTTTCCAATTCATACGTATTGTTTTCAGAACATATCAAAACACAGCACAAGGCCATGCCTCATCAACGCCGCCAACGGCGAAGTATTCAGCCACGCCGATGTCAAACTCACAGCCGGTAAAGTCGCCGCCGGACTCAACAAACTCGGCATCCAACAAGGCCAAGTCGTAATGTTATTACTCCATAACTCGCCGGAATTCGTGTTCGCTTTTCTCGGAGCATCATACATCGGAGCTGTAACCACCACCGCCAATCCACTTTACACTCCGGCGGAGATTGAAAAACAGGCCACCATATCCAAACCATACCTCATAATCACCCATGCCATTTATGCTCAGAAAGTCAAGAACTTTGCTCAACAAAATGGTGTAAAAATATTTTGCATTGATCCTCCGCCGGAGAGTTGTTTCCACTTCTCCGAACTGACTCAGGCCGATGAAAATTCCGTCCCATTAGTCAACATCCACCAGGATGATATGGTCGCACTTCCATTTTCCTCAGGTACCACCGGCTTCCCAAAAGGGGTGATGTTAACACATAAAAACCTAGTAACCTGCGTGTCCCAACAGGTTGATGGAGAAAACCCTACTCTGTATATTCATCCTGAGGACCTCACCATTTGTGTACTGCCATTGTTTCATGTTTACTCGCTTATTACAGTGATGCTTTGCACTCTTCGAGTGGGGTCTGCAATTCTTATAATGCAGAAATTTGAGATCAATGCGTTAATGGAAAATGTGCAGAAATATAAGGTGACCATTGCACCATTTGTGCCTCCAATACTTTTGGCCATAGCCAAAAATCCGGTGGCTGACAGGTTTGATCTTTCATCTGTAAGAAGGGTGGTGTGTGGTGCGGCTCCCATGGACAAGAAGCTCGAAGATGCAGTCAGAAGGAAGCTACCCAATGCCACAATTGGGCAGGTACCGTTTCTTTTTCTTTCATTTTTCCTTATATTCTCTGCCATATTTTGTCTAAGAAATTGCATATATGTTGAACCTATATATCTTCAATTTTGATAAAAAATGATAGACTATATGATTAAAAAATTATGGGTTGTGGTACTTTGACATAAATTTTAATCAATTTTTTAGTCGAACCAAACACGGACTTAACCATTTAGTTTTGCAGTTTAATTGGTATTTAGGGGTCGTTTAACGTTGATAAAAGTTAACAAAATTTTGTGAATTCGATAAAATTTACGGTGAAAAAGTGAAAAAAATAGAGAGAAAATAAAAGTTAAAAGGGTAAAATAAAAGGATAGAAGAAGATGTTAGGGGTGGAAACACGAATTTTGTTTTTCTATATTTTATTTATTATTTAATTTCACCAAATGAGACTTGAACCCGAATTAATGGTCTAGTAAGAATTCGCTATTACCATTCGATCTATGCTTAGATTTATATTTATTTATCATCTTTTTTCCGAATATGCAATACAAGTTGATTTTTTCTCTCTTTTGTTTATGCTCTAATCAAATATCAACCAAAAGAATTGTGTATAGAATAAGTAACAAAATATAATTCTTAGTATCCCATTCGTTTACTTTTAATGCTTCAAACTCTCCAATATCTGTATCTATCTATCTATCTCTATATGTATACGTATATATACAAATATATTTAATGATCCTAATTTTTCGTGATGTTAACTTGCAAGTTACTTTTTTGGCGTAAATTGATAGTCATGATAAACGTGTGGTGACATATAACAGCTGAACATTTTGCAACAATAAATATGATGTTGCCAATTAATAATAAATTAAAACAATTTAAAGATTTTTGTTGAAAATAATGATTATAAAACATAATACCTAATCAATGTTGCACTCTGCATACATTTTGACTTAACTTTTGCGTTGAAGATGAGCTCCAAGTTACTCATGTAAAATATTAATAAATATGGTTGACTCAACCATAATATATCTAGGATTGGACATAATTCGATTCGATTGGATTTTGAATGTAATCGAATTGAATATCAATGAAAATATGAAACCGAATCGAAATTGAACCAATTAGTTTTGATTCGGTCCAATCTAATTCTTTACATTGAAAAAATGATAAAAATAAAGTATGAAACTAATTGTCGATTGAAAATATATGAAAAATAGGGTATGAAATCACTTGTTATTATTATAATCTAACAGTACAAAAAATCAATTAAACAAAACAACAAACAAAAATTCACTCCGAAGTTCACGATCAATTTATAAATGCGAAAAAATGATAAACTATTGAACATAGTATAAAAGAAAAAATTTAGATCGAAAATTAATTCTTAAAAAAAGTCATACAACAATATATATAAAAAATGTATGTAGTATTTTATAACCGATTATCTTTAGTGATCTTATAGGTATTGATTTTGATGGTCGGCCACTTTGAAAATAATGTGAAATTTGAGTTCTTATTAAATATTGAACTAAAAATATTTTTTTCTAGTTATAAATTTGTAAAATATTTATAAAATTATTTAGATTTAAGTTTTGATTACCCATTAGATTTTGTTGCAAAAGAAAAAATAAGAAACGTATAAAAAATGAAATTTTGACATGAGATAATTTTAGGGTCTAGTATTCAATGAACTGGTACTTCTTGTTGCAATATACAGGGAAAAAGATAAATTTGGGGTAATCGAATTAACTATTAAAACAATAGCGAGAATCGAATTGCGCATGGTCTCAAAACCAAGTCATTTATTTGAGGAATCGAAGTCGAATCGGCCGGTTCTATCTAGTTCTTGTCCGATTTCAAGAAAAATGCTTACCCCTATATATGCAGTTATATACGAATTAATTAATATATATTATTTTTGGCTAAATCTTTTGAAATCAGAAAACAGTCACATTTGTAAATGTAAAATTTATTTTCACAGTAATTAATAATTTTCACCTATCTTTTCATCATAATAATTGCACAGGGCTATGGCATGACAGAGGGTGGGGTGGTATCAATGTGTTTGGGATTTGCCAAAGAAGCATTTCAATTCAAATCAGGTTCATGTGGAACTGTCATTAGGAACGCCCAGATGAAAATTGTTGATCCCCAAACAGGCCTTTCTCTTCCATATAATCGAGCTGGGGAAATTTGGATTAGAGGAGACCAGATTATGAAAGGTTAATTTCAGTTACTCATTTTCGAGATATTCTTTTGAGAATGGCCCAATTAAATTGATTTCAACAAAAACAGGCTATTTGAATGATCCGGAGGCCACGAAGAGTACAATAGATAGAGAGGGATGGATGCATACAGGTGATATTGGGTATGTGGACGAAAATGAAGAATTATTCATTGTGGACCGATTGAAGGAACTGATTAAATATAAAGGGTTCCACATAGCTCCTGCAGAACTTGAAGCATTATTAATTGCTCATCCCAGTATTTCTGATGCTGCAGTTGTACCGTAAGTTTTATCAATATATTGCATTATTTTGCTTTTGTCAATTTCGATAAAGAAATTTGAGGCTGAAAAAATATTCCAGGGTCCCATTTGACAGAATTTATTTTTGAGATTAAGAATTGATTTTGAACTCGTTTGATTATTAATATTATAAAAATGCTTCTTTTAATTAGAAATTTTTTTAGAGAAAATTGGTTTAATATTATTTTCTGTAAAAATACTTTTCAAATAGAAAACTCTTTTAGAAATTAGTTTCTAAACAAAAATTAAGATTGTTTCACTGGGGAACTCTTCCACGAAAAGAAAAAGTCAAAATCAAGCCAAATGGGTCCTTAAATAATTTTTTGGAAAGAACTTTGTTGTGTACAGAACACTGTACACACAGAAAATGGACAAAATACACACATAGGTGGGATCCTTTTTGTCAATAATTTATTCATGTGGAGCCCACCTCCCATGTGAGATTTCTATAGGAATTCTGGTCTGCAACACCATTTCTGTACCAATGACTTTAATCTTCTGGAGGTACTTTGATTGACTAGAAGAGTTTCCAGAGGAAGTTGGACTAAAGTAACTTTTTCAGGTAACCCTTCTACAAGAAACATAATCCCTGCCAAACAGACCTTAAAACTTATCCTTAATTTGGTGACACTTGACTACTTGAGGGCAAATTAACAAGACTAAAAGCAACAAGGCCTTCATCATTACAAGGGTCATGCTACTATATTAAGCCCTTTTGTTACTTAATATAAGGCATTGTTTGATCTCTATTATTTTCAAAATATATTTTTCTCTATCTAATTTTCAATCATATATTCTTTAATAAAATAATATTATACGTAAATTCAAAAAATTTCCTTGTTTTTTAGCTGCATTTTCCCCATCAAAATACAATTCCAAAAT